AAGTTACGACATGACATAACTTACTTGGCCATGTTATACACCAGTTATAGCAATAATTCCTCAACAAATTTTACTTTTTTTTTTTTTGATATGAAATGTAAGTAAAATCCGACTTATTTTTATCGGGAGCGATTATTTTTGATCACTTGATTGCTTCGGTAAAAAAACAGACCCGCCATGATGTTTGTGAAACATTAGCATGTGTCCTTTGACCCGATGGGTCAAGAATGCCATTAACCAATCAAAATGCTGCATGGTAATGCCGGTAGAACCCGAAGTTTTCCGAATGGCAGTGATCATAAAGATTACATTGCGGAAGTAAAGCGATGTCGGAGCACGATGTGTTGGCGTCGATTTCAATTGACAACTGCATGATAGCTTTCGAAATAGGTGATTTGCAATTTTTAAAAGGTAAATTAGGTCTTGAAAAAAGAGTTTTTACATGATTCGCAATGATACAATGTAACCAGTTCAAATGTATTTTACCAAATCACGCAAATAAACACGTTGTTTTTTTTCTTGAGTAGCGTGAACTGATCGTGAACTCCGATTTGACCATGTTATATCGAGGTGGAATTGATTTTGAAATAATTTTAGCTTTCAATCTAAAGACTGTCTATCGCAGAAAGTATTTACTTACAAACAAAGAGGTGCTAATTCCACAAATTTGACTAGCCGCTACGTATCGTGCGACTAGGTCGATTGTTTATAAATTATAATCCACGACTGACAGGTACGTAATTATACTAACAATCAGACAATAGTCCTCGTCGGAAGCATTTCCGTGGTGGTCACTAATTTTGAGTGACGGTCGAGGCCGACCGACGTGGCGAACAAAGATTTTTCACATCTGATATTGGCATGTCAAATATGAAATCAAGCGCCGAGGTGGGAACACATAACGCTGAGGTCCCAAGTGAAGCGCCGAGATTCACAGGTATAGCGCCGCGGACCTCGGCGCTAAAAAGCCCTGGGGAGAACCCTGGTATGGTTTTCCCCCAGAAAGTTTTTAGTACTGGTGCTCTTTTATTAAAACACCCAGTGATAAACCTACATTGTGTAAAACATGAACATTTTCAAACCGTGTTGTAAAGTCCTGATTCAATCAGATATAGCGAGACCAAAAAAAGTCATAATTGTCTGAAAAAAGATAACGTGAAGTTATTTGAAATGTGGTATGCTAGCAATGACGATTATATATTAAAGATTGCTGGTTCCTTGCCAATCAAAATTATCCGAAACCATGACTCGGGGAGGGGGGTTGTTAGTTTCATGTTCATATACCGTACATACTTTTATCGTATTGAACAAACACTGCAACAATTCAAGAAAACTTAGCAGATATTTTTAAAACCTTTTGCTCTGTACAACTTTCCATTGAAGCACACTTCCGTTTCTTTAATGATCATTGATGGGTTCACCACTACATACGGTAGTCTTTTTGTCAACATCAAAAATGCTGAAAAGATATATTGACACTAAAATGAAAAATAAGTGATTATTCTAACTGTTCATGTTTTACTCCTGTGTGCAAAGCACAAAAGGGAGTCTTTGCTGCTACTGTTTGTCTGTCTGTCTGTCTGTCTGTCTGTCTGTCTGTATGTATATATGTACAATGTATGTATGTAATCATTAAGTATATAGATTGAAATGGTTCAGAACAACTCTTCTGGGAATATAATATGCATTTTACTTCCAGGAAAACTCTACTACGTCCCTAAAATTGTTATTGGGTTACAATTATATACTAATCATATCTGTTTTAAAAAAAAATCGTAACTATGAAAGCATTATTAAAATCAAGCTGTGAATTATGTAAATTTAACCATTTCCCTCCCCAATCCTTGTTTTTACTGCTCCCTCATTAGCTTCGTAAATGTGCTGGTAATTTGCATACCACGTGTCTACAGTAACTACGAGTAAAACAACATGGCAGTCGATAGGAACTATCCATCAAAAGTCTCGACTTAATCAGTAAGGAAATGAGTCTCTGGTGACAGAGGTTCGATATACCTCATTGTGTCATGTATTTCGGTCACGGATGTCGTCATTTTTCTCTGGTGCGTTGTCATGTTTACTTGCTTCCTCTTCCTTTCAGTTAGCAGGTTTTAATTGTTTTTTAAGTTTTGTTTAAAATGTTAATAAATACTGGATTTAGTAAAAGCGGCCCACTACCCTAAAACTTTTTGGGGGTAACACTGGTTGAATGTTTTATCTGTTAAATAACTGTTCCACTGATATCTAGAAATACTGTAGGACTATGATGTACATACATATATCTAATTAGTTTTGTGTGAAGATTTTTCAATTTTCGCCACTTGCATAGTAATTTACTAAAACAATACGATAATCTTATTTTCTTTGACACGGCACTGTGATCATGTGCATCTCTACTGTACATGTAATTGAGTTAATTATACCTGTATTGATTCACAATATTGTAATCGCCTTCTTCTGTTGGAAAAAAACTGTTAGATATACAATACAGTAGGGTGCAACTCAACTTCCATGCTGGCTTTGCCTTTTCATACAAATTAATAAATTTTAAAGCAAGTATCATTTCAGCAATAATTTTAATTTATTTTTGGTAGTATTACCTGTCTTACTGATGTGAAACATTTAGACAGATTACCATATACAATTCAGATATGTGGCAGTTTTAAAGCTAACTGAACGAGTTTTTTTTTTTAAGTAACTCTTCTTGTCGTTCAAAGTCTGAAAACGGGGACTTATAATTCGGTCTTCGTCTGTGCGTCCGTCCGGAGTCGTATCTCAGAATCCCTTTGACCGATTCCGTTCATTCTTTGCATGTGCCTAGTACTTTGTGTGGGACATATGCACATGCAGTGGTTTAGCGATTCGATTCAAAATGGCCGACTGGCAGCCATCTTGTTTTTTGAAAATGGTGTATTTTGGACATGCTTTGTCAGTTAGATTATACATGTTAGGATACATGTCCATGACGATTTATTTCGCAATTGGATCAAAGATGGTTGACTGACAGGCATCTTGGTTTTTTTTTATGTGGTATCTTGGAAGTGCTCTGTCAGTTTTCATTCAAATTTGGTACATACATGTACTTTATACATGCTAGGATGCATGTCCATGACAATTTGTTTCAAAATCTGGTCAAGGATGGCCGATTGACAGCCATCTGACTTTTTGGCCTTACTACTATATTTCCACAATTTATGTACCATTTTCATCCGTATTTGGTACATGCATCATACAAATTAGTGTTTTATAATCAGATCAAAGATGGCTGAATAACGGCTGTTTTTATTTTTGGCCATATTACTACTACACGGAACGTGTGTTTTGATGTAAATAAACAATCTGTTGTATACGCCACTTGGAACTCGAGTTTCAAGGACACGCTCGCGACAACCCTTCGCTTTAATGTGATGAGCTCAAAGAGAACTTTTAAAATTTTAACGGGGACTGTGTCATTTTCAATGACTTGTTTACTACATAATGCTGTTGTACATCTCAGCTGTCATGCATGTCCAGACTATTTCTTTCAATAAGGATATACTGTAAATTAATTTACTTTCTTTCACTTTTCGCTAAAAGAACAAATCAGTGAATATAATATATTCCAGCAAAAATACCCCTTCTCCTGTATTTTAATTCAGTGAAAATAAACTTCATGGAAAACGACTAAAATGTCTTTTCAGCTAAAATAAAGTTTTTTTACAGTAACCATGGTGTTATATTTGTGTACCATTTCTTACTTTTATTTCCCTTTTAGTTTCAGAGAGCTTACCCAAATATCTATGCAAAAAGATTACCAACCACTGCCAGTGAAGCCGAGCTGTTTCCAGAGAAACCAACGATTAAACAACCTATGTTAAGCATGGTAAAACCGTTCTCCAGACGCAGGAACAATATGCGATATTAGATTGCTATATATCTGTGGATTGTTTGTAATTCTATACATTTTACACTGCCATGTATTTATTACAGACTCCACTTTAAAGAAATCAAAGTTTTTCATAGATGAATATGTCAGTTACAATGTATGCCAAGATACTGACCATTCCAGAGGTTTGTTTGATATGTAGATAGGTGGCAATCATTCCACTGGAATTTTTAACTTTTATTTGAAGAGGCTGTTTTTATTATCATATAATCATGTTTTCCAAAGTATTTATCTTGACCCCAATTGTAACAGACCTATAGTTTGAGTACATGCTACGATTAGGGTAAATTAGTTGTTTGCTCTGCCCAAAAAGAACCATCAACTCGATAATCACTTTTATAAATATCCCTAGATGGGGCGGGGGTTTTAGATTTAATTCAGTGATGACAAGCTTGTACAACATGCACTTGTCATCCACGTCTGAATTTTCATCTGAACTATTGTTATATATAGCCTTATTGTACATAGAGTATTTTTGTAAATTTTCTACTTGTTCTCTTATTAAAGTGCTGTTATGTATTTTGTATGTACCTTTCACTGCCATTATATACTTGCACTTCATTTACAACCATTGAGCTGAATGTTTAATAGTTTTAAACTGAGTTAATGGACCTTAGCTGCAAATTGTCACCAAGGTAGATTATTCACTGGGTTTTAATGTGAACATGTTGAATTACTGTACTTGTTTCGATGGTTAATTGAATTTAAAACCAGTGAAATATCAAAATAGTGATACTTTTAGATTTTTCAGTATGCCGATTGCTGAACATTCAAATGCATTGCATTCAGTAATTTTTCGTACACTGGAAAGAAAATTAATTGTATTAGTGCTCTGTACATCATGTTTTTGGTGAACCTGTAGGTCAGGTTACCCAGTTAATTATTTTGAAGCATGCCTCTCGATTTCATGTTGTAGATTTAATAATGTATTATAAAACGATTGATATTGTATTTAAATAGTGTATAAGCATGCAGGAAATCAATTCACTAAAAAAAAGTTTGCCATCACCAATCCACATCTTCTGGGCGATTAAAACAAAAACAGTCCACAATCTCAAACAGCCATTCAAGAAAACAAATCTGAAATGTCGTGTTCATTTTGACAATCTACCGTATTCCACACTGCCATGTATAAAATTTGCCTTGATGAATTGGAATGACTTTTTTTGCATATTGGTATAACTAGATAAATTACAATTGTGGTATTGTTGTGAATGAATGTTGTGTTTATTTGAGTAGTGTGTCAACTAAACTATTAGAGAAATGCACATTTTAGTTCTCTGGAGTTTGCACAAGTCTACGGTCCCAAACTGTAGTGTTTTTTGTTTTTTTTAACTGCTGCTACATTTAGCTGTAATTATGAGTGTTCTCAAATGTGTAAGAAAAACATTGTCTCCATCTGTCAACGTTTTTAAATATCAATCATTACAGCCTCAAAACACTGAGCCTGGTGTAAAACTAATGTAACCAGAGGACCACTGCTCTAACTTGTGTGGCAGTATTTGTGTGACTATTCCAATGTTGCATAGTTGTATACAGTGTATCGATATACTACCTCGTTTCATTTGATGGTATCCATTGCAACTGAATAAATATTTTATTGAATATCGCATGTCTTATTTCATTCTTGTTAATAAAGTTGTATGACTTGACTAGTTTAGTCCAATGCAAGACTAAAGACCGACGTTATCACCAGTGTTTTTCATCTATACTTAAAGTTTGTCATAAATGCCATTCATTAACGAAAAGTTGTTTTCTCTCCTTAATATCACTCGAGTCTCCTGCCAGTGTTCATGCATCAGTTGTCAATGATTTTACCTATTTGTGTGTTGCATTAAATATTTTATGGAACAAAGTATTTAGTCATGTCTGCTTCAGATATGACAAATCTACATTTTTATTGATTAATTTGCGTGGGATTTATCTGGATAAATTAACCTCATTTTTGTCCATGAACTTGTTTTCCCTCACTGTTTGCTTGTAGGTAGAATCAGTGCATCGACAAGACTGGAACAGTGTCTATTTCTGTGTACGATTAAGTCGCTGCATTTTTTCTCTGTACAATATTTCGCTCTTGTATTCTAAAATGGGTCAACTTAGGTCATTTGGTGTGTTATGCTTACAGAATTTGAAAATGTTTTTGAGAATTTCGTTTTAACATGATCTAAGTTGAGAGTACAATTTTTCCTTCACCATTTAAAGCCCTGAAGTTGCCGCGCCCGTCGTGGAACCCATGGCGGTGTGTAAAATGCGAACACGGGCTGTGTGACCACTAGTGCTTTACACGAGATATTTTTTGCAGCAACACCCTGGATTCGAAGGAACTATTTCTAGACCGACTTGCCGTGTAAATGGATTATTTTTAACCGAATGTAACTTGCAGGTCACTATATATACTTGAATCGAGTGCGAATTCTACAGGTCATTGGCCGCTGTTTTTTTCTGTACAAAAGGACTTGCGTACACTGTAACAACTCAAACTCATTGTAGGGCTGCAGAAAAACCATCTAAAACTCGCCAAATTTGCAATATTCGTTAAAGTACGGCAACTGGGACGCTTACGGTTGTAATACTACTTTTAAGGCTGAAAAACGCCTGCTAACCTTTGAAAGCGGACATTTTTCGTTCAGCATTTCTTTCCCGTTCAATACAGTACCCATTTACTAGGAAAGGATTTTTTAAGAACGAGTGTGTTCCCCGCGCACTTCAAAAATAGTAAAATTCATTTAGGGTAAAAACTCCCCAGATTCGAACAAACTATTTTCAGTTCGACTGTCAATGTGGTTAAACACACCGAAAATTTGCATTATTACTTCGTTAAAGTACGGCAACTCGACCGCTAATGGTAGTTACTCGAACAGGTCGTTGAGGTGGCAAACACAATTCAAGGGGGTGCGTGGTTGGAAGCGTTTTATCTGTTCATTTTTATTTTTCTTGAATTTTCGACTCTGCAACAGCTGTTTGGGATTTTTATTTTTCAATAGTTATCACTCCTTCCCAGTTCTGATTATTTTGCATAAAGTGTGGCGTTAATAAACCACATTTATATTTAACTGTGGCGGTTTACTAATTTGCATATACAAGATACGTGTGTATTGCAGGAATAGACGAATGACCATGAAAACTTATTCCCAAGAAAGATTTCAACAAGTGTACACACAAGTAAAAAAAATAAACATCACAATTTTTGTTTCCATAAAGTTGTATTTTGCTATAATTTTGATGAATAACACAATTTATTTTATTGAAGAAAATCGATGGCAAAAAACTAAGTAGCTCACGGTTCCATTCCTGCAAAATAACCTACAATTCATAATGAACAATACGTTGCACCTTCTAACAACGATGGTTTCGGTATAACATAACGTTTTGAAGCAAACCTCCCTGGAGATTTCAAACACTCACCCAGGATGCATCTTGGGTCGGGGGGTGGGGGTATAACAGTTTATGCAGTATTTAAAAGCAAAACAAAAAAAATACATCTGTTTAACCTAAAGAGGACGGTCTGGTTTAAAGGAAATTGTTTTGTAGCTCTTCGTGTATTCCTACAAGGTTCGCCATTCTCGGCAAAACAATGCTAGGTGTACAAGTACGTCTTTCCATGCTGTCAGTCGGCGTGACTCTTCCTAATCGACCAACAATGCTTTGCTGCTTTGTAGTTGATTTGTTTTGACTCCGGTACGCTCTGAAAAAAAGAACAACTAATGTTACTACAACATGGACTAAAATATAACACATTGCAAGACATAATTGAACCATGACACAAAATCGGGAGTGAGAGTTAATCGTGTCGGAATCTGACCGACTCCATTTTGACCTTGACAACTTAAAGTCCCGCCATGCAACGCGATCTCGAATACTGTTTTGCTATACGCATACAACTAATCTGGAAAGTACAAACTGGTGTTTCATCGTCATCCAGTCTACATATATCTTTTCAAAGGGCGGAGCTCATCGCACCGCGCAGTTATGCGAGATCATGATATAGGTCGCAAATACTCCATAGACTGGAGGGGCCTGAAATGAATCCCAGAGCTCTCTTGGACCCAACATTTTAGAATAATTTGCCGATTTGTAAGCTAAAACAGTAACTCATTAATAAATTTCTTGAAGATCCCAACAGAAAGCGTGGCCTACTGACATTCAAGCTGATTTTTGCCCCACATTTTTGTAATTTACGTAAGCATGCTCAAGGCCAATGTCGCAATTTCCCAATGCAATATATCTGAGGAAATACTTGCGTTTGCACATAACTATTGGTTTCGACGTGCCATTTGTAACATGACAATAAACTCTAGCACATTCAGAGACATTATTTTTGTAAATAAAATGGACTGACGATGTACTACTTCCTGTTATTCTGCAGTCTGCACTTTCCGAATTTGTATTGTTTTATAACCATAAAAGCAACACGTAATGCCTTCCTAGTTGTTGTACTGAGTAATCATAGCTAAACGGACTGATGTGGTGGTCGTCACGCAGCACGTGTTTGAATTTCATGTAAACAAACAATATACGTTATGTACGTTGCTATGGGTCCCATATCGAATAGGACGCGGCGCAACGACCATCATCTTTTAACAATACTGGGTGTTATTTAGCCGTGCTAACAATTGTTCCTTCCTGTACGTGAACGCAAGTGGGTCTAGCCGATATGCAAACTTGGTGCAGCCTAAACATGACTAATATTATACAGTCACAGTCCCTCCCCTTGTTGGGGACTGTGATACAGTTAAATAATAACTTAGCCGTATTTACAGTAAGTGTGACTAACGTTTAAAAAGTGTCTTAAAGATTCGCCTACACATACTATAGTAATCTGAGATATAATCTATATATGATTTCGAAAGCGTCGCTTGTCATAAAAAATGACACCCAATATTTTCATTGGTTCGCTTTCGAGAGTGAGACATGATTGGTTAATTGTCAAGAATGTGTATACCGGTAATCGTGCAGTTTGTTTTGGTAGCATTCACACGCATCACATTCTTGGCAACCCATGTCACTAAAATGCACAAGTCATACTACGCATGTGCGTAGCAGTTTCTGAATTAGCTAACAATAACTATCTCAAATAATAAATTATTACTTAATAATTATCTAAAACGTGTTCTACGCCATAGTTTAATTATATTTATGAATTGATTTGAATTTTAAATTACATACCCTTCATTTGATACATCACATCTGTTTAAATGAGTATGCTGCAAAATTGATACCCGGATATATAAAGATTTAATCGATTACGTCAATAATTTACATTATGCAATAGGTAAATATGGGGTAGGCAATCCAGAATTGTTTCTACTTGAGAACATTATTAAAACGGAATGCCCATAGTAACATTATGTATGCAAATGTATACGAGTAAATAGTGACATTTTTATTCTTAAAGACTATACACATATATGATACCACAGTGGCGTTCAAGTATGGTGTCAATATACTAGTATGACATGTATTCCTTTTTGAGTAATTATAGAAAAAAATATCGCAAATTTCCTGAACTCATTTTCCAATGTTTGATTTTATTTCAGGATGATATTTCAATTGAGATGTTTGTTTTTGTATATTGAATACATGTATAAACAAATATCTGCTAATTATGCATATTAAGTAATAATATGATCTAAACGTGTTTAATGTTAAACGGCATGTTTCCGACAATGGACATGAGACTTTATATCAACCCAAAAAACCTGGTAAACCATAATGAAGGATATAGCCAACTGACAACCAGGTTTGACAATTCAGACACATCAAGTCCTTTAATTTGATATATCATGTGATGACATTTAGTTTAATAGTATTAGAAATACCAACTAAGCAATGCTGACTTTGGAGAGATGCAAAATTACTAAAATTCATATATCTTCATATATAATAATCTGTATTAAATAGCGCTGTTTGTAATATGTAACTCAATAGCACAGATGATGTTAATAATTTTCAAAACTATATAAATATGATGGTTATGGGACGTGCATGGTAGGCCACTCCAATATTAACAAAAATGGCGAATCGGATTGTTGCGCATAACGCATACAAAATTAGAGACCCGGCCAAAGCTTAACGTGATTTCTTGGATGAAAATAACGCATCGAAGGCGACCATGCACCCCGCCCCGTTTCGGCATTCTTTTGATGAACATCGACACAGGCTAGGGATTTCGCGTTTCAAATTATCCGTGAATATAAGTAAATCCGGAGCGCGTGCAAGCACATTTTTGTTAATATTACATCAAACGATTACTGCTGTACTTATCGTAAAAAAACAACCAATTAGTAACATCCATCTCAATAAAGACGTGTTTCTACTCATGTTGCAGTTGCACTCAAGAAAACTTTGAACATTATTATGTACTTCTTCGATTAGGTGTGTTTAGATATGCCAGTTTGTATGCCGACAATAGTTTGTGTATATATCTATATGCACTAATATGCCAGTTTAAATCTTGCCTACCTCTGTATCCATGACGACGGAGCACGCTTTGGAGTATTGTAAGTTGACATTGTCTGATGTTTAGAATACTTTAATGTATGGGAAACAGCCCGTCGTGGTGATCCCAAGTTGTAACTCCTGTTCTCTGGAACCATGGCGTGTAACCTTGGCGACAACGACGTGCTCAAGTTGTTCAATGTTAGAGTTGATGGTACGGTCCTGGGACGAGGTTGAGCAAGCCAAAACGGTTGTATTTCAGGTAAGTAGATGTTTTTCTTCAAGTTGGCCCTGTCATGTGATGCGCTGTATGTTGCCTTGTCCGCCTCCTCTCTACAGTATCTCGATAAGTGTAATGTTGTCTGGTTAGTCTTTCTGAGCGGAAGTACAACGCCTGGTATTTTGCTCTCTTTTCCTAATATAATATAATAGAATATAACATCATTCAAAATTGGGTTAGCTGATTTTGCAATGTAATTTTAGAGTACCTTAATTTGGAGAATGTGTTGAATATGAAATAAAAAATGCCATTCTATGTAGAACATTAAACATTCGGTGATTCCCTGATTCAAAAATGACTTTCACCATTCGCACCGTTTTGTGAGAATGTCCCCAATTGTTATTTTAACATTCATTGTCAGGGGCCAGATGAAAAATTAATAGCCAATATAACTGGAGTGACCACCGTCCCGTTATTCCGTTTAATCGAGTGCCCCGTTATTTTGTTTACTAGAATAGACCCCCGTTATTCAGTTTAATTGAGTGTCCCATCCCCTTTATTCCGTTTAATCGAGTGCCCCGTTATTTTGTTTACTAGAATAGACCCCCGTTATTCAGTTTAATTGAGTGCCCCATCCCCGTTATTCCGTTTAATCGAGTGCCCCGTTATTTTGTTTACTAGAATAGACCCCCGTTATTCAGTTTAATTGAGTGCCCCATCCCCGTTATTCCGATTAATAGAGTGCCCCGATTATTTTAAATTTGTTTACTAGAGTCCCCCCCCGTTATTCAGTTTGATTGAGTGCCCCATCCCCGTTATTCCGTTTGATTGAGTGCCCCCCCCCCCGTTATTCAGTTTGATTGAGTGCCATGCCCCATCCCCGTTATTCCGTTCAATTGTGTGTCCCACCACCGTCGTTTCGTTTACATGATTCTCACCTTGGTCTAATTTCGAAGTCTTGGTTGCTGATGGCAATACTGCCGGTGAAGTCGACGGTCGTTTATTTGTTGTCAACTTCGGTTTCACCGACTCCGGTAAATACACATAGAATGACCGATCGAATGCTTTCAGAGTCCTCTGAAGAAACGTATCTCGTTTGTCAGTTTTCAATCCCTGCTTGTCTTTGTTTTCAGAGGTCAAATATGAATCTTGTTGTTGTTGTTGTTGTTGTTGCTCTAATTTTTCTTCGTCACATTTCCATTCGTCGCTCATACTAAGTCTATTTTCATCATTCACTGTAAGTACCATATTAAACAAAAGTATCTCTCCACGTTTGTCGGTGGTGGCGCTAAAATCTAATAACAATCTGCATACTGGTCTGTGGTTTTTCAGTGCAGCCAGGTATAATGCGGTACTGCCAGTGTCATCTTTGAGATCCATCCATGATTGAGCCCTTAAATGGAAACATATGAATATAGGAAACAGCAATGGTAATGAGGTACACAAACACTTGCGTATGCTTTTGCGTCGGTTATTCTTTGAGAAAGTGGCTGAGAAGACAAGACTTTACTTGTTGAATGGCTGATTTTTATTTTTTGACTTACTAAAAATTGACACTCCCTTCAAGAAATAAAATACGTATACAAACAACACACGTGTATCTAGTATGCATGATTATCAAGCCGCAGTGCATCGCATGGTATTGCATCATCGCATGGTATTGCATCATCGCATCACATTCCATGACATTACATTACATTATATTGTTTGCATCGCATAGCATTACACATTAAACATCGGAGTACTAGATTAAAGAGTATTGGAGTGTGATGTAATATAAATCATACTTACGCCTTCGATTTGTTGGATAACTTCAACATGGTTACGACAGCCACCAACAGCGATGTCAACTGTATATTACCGCCCTCAGCGGCATAGTGTAGACAAGATCTAAGTACGATAAAAACGAATTACCAACAACATAAATCACAAAATGTCAGATTATTTAGGGGTATTTCGTCAATTTTCGCATTACCGGTAGATAACTGCAAACCTAGGGCAAACATTAAATACACCCATAACTCCGAAATTATGTGATTGAAGCAGAAAAACACAATATTTATCGAATGTAAGGATAAAGACGTTTCGATAACTACTAAATAAAATTAACAAATCTATTAAACATACCTGCCAAGTTTATCTGTTGCGTTCAATATTTTTGCCCTTCTCTTTATCAACAACTTTGCCACATTCACGTTGCCGTTGGTAACGGCGATGAATAACGGCGTGTGACCATTGATATCCACAGCACTGATGTCTATTCCAATTTGCAGTAAATAGTCACACAACTCTACTTCGCCACTAGCTGCAGCAAAGTGTAGAGCAGTACGTCCCTGTTGGTTATTATATAAAAAATAGTTGTAAACGAGAGATGCAAAGTACTATATACGTTGTCAATGTGCGTGTTCGGTACGGGTCCGTGCGTCATACACAACGTGTGTACACTTTGTTTGTTAAAATGAAATTTGAACGCGCTTACGTGAAGACTGGTATTTTAAAATGGGGGAGGCGTCACCTGCGTATGCGTCAGATGGCCATATCGTGTCATAATTTACAAACAAGTGCCTACACATTGAGTTTTTAGCGTGTGTTGTTATCGTCGTTGGGGACTCGATTCCCGCGCGTGCGCAGGTGACGACCCTCCTACGTTAACTAATGTGTGTCCGTTATTATTCAAGGTGCTTGAGTACGAATAACCGCACACAAAGTAAAATCGTTTACAGTTTGACAATTTTAAATCTACCGGTTTCTACGGTGTGTTAAGATATAAATACGTCACGTCGTTTAATACATGCAATATGTAGCTGCTTTTAAATTTGTTACCGTAGCGTTTGAACCATTCAGATTTTATTCAGTTAAATTTAACTGGATTGTTATTGGACAAATGATAATGAAGATGCCCAGTTGACATAATTTGAAACGTTTAGAAATGTCAATAAACAAGCTGCTCTCTGATTGGAAACCAAAATTACATAAAAATATATATATAAAAAAATGCAATGATGCTACAAGTAAAAAAATGCGAAAACTCAGGATAATAAAAACACCAGAAATAGCAAAAAGACGGAAATGTTCCCGATACAACCATTCATCTGTCGAGCATAGGCAAAATGAGCAGGTTATATTAAACAATGAAAAATGAAAAAAACAGTGGGGTAGCGAATGACCAATTAAAGCGAGTGTTATATATTACAGTTGGGTAGCCAATCAGGTACAACTGTAGAAGTCACGTGACGTGTATTGTAATATCGATAAGGCATTTCGGAGAATTCTACCTTACCTGCATAGCTGTCTGGTTAATGTATTTATCATTCTTTGCTAGAATTGTTTTGAATATATCACAATGTCCATAGCACGCTGCTAACAGTAGCGGTGTCAGACCGTCAATATTGCGTTTAGTAAGACTGCAGCCCTGGGTGTTAAAAAAGAATACATAACAACATATTTATAAGTATCGCGATAGATGGCATATCTGAGGTTCGTTTTAGTGTCTGGATCGATGTCATAGAAAAAAAAAGAGTCACCATCCAGAAATCCATAACTCGGTGTGAAAGGTGTGTGTACGCGAAACAGCCAGTGCACCACCCTCACCCGGCACACACTATATACAGAGTCTTTGCATATACTCCGGGTCTTGAATATACTCCAATCAAGACCGATGAGTGAGTGAGTCGGATGAGACGATCTATCGTACTGATGAGTAAACGTCATGGTTACAAAATAAATACGACGTGACTTTAAGATATAAGATACGGTTTACATGTGGTTGGTAATGAGTGCGTACCTTTTGAACCAGCAGAGCCACAACGTCCGTGTAACCCAACTGTACAGCGAAGTGCACTGGTGTCTGTCCCATTTTATCTTTCCTGTCTAAATCTTGCGCTTCACATCCGTGAAGTAACTCGGATAAACATGGTACCTACAATGTATATTAACAAGATAGGCGTAAGTAATCCTCAGCAGAACATACTCCTGAGATATCACCATGCAAATCCGTGACCCGATTGTTCGTCAATTGTGTGTGTCGAATGTGGTCATACTTACATCGCCCTCAGCGACAGCCCAATGTAGCGGCGATCGCCCCAAATTATCTTCCTGAAACAGCGCACCCCAATTCATCAATAGTCGGATCAAATCAAGGTTACTCTGGAAACAGAATTAGTATTACTATTTGGGTGAGTTTTTTATACTTTTTAAATGCAACGAAAAGATCGATGGATCTCAGTGTCGGTTATTTTTTTAAAATTATTTTAAGTTTTTTTTCTAACACAATTTTAATACATACTTTACCCAAAGCCATGTGTAAGGTCGTGATGCCGCAGTTGTCTGCCGTGTTCACTGATGACGGGTCTTTGTCTAATAAGTATTCGGCACATTTCGGATTCTACAAACATAAAATCACATCAGCGTGTATAGGTAAATCAAGTCTTAACGCTTATTTGCGTTATTATTGGTCTGATCTCTGAAATAATCACACATATCTTTTTTTTCTCGCTGAGATTAGATAATTTTTGTATAGATACATATTTTCATAATAATTAAAAATGTATTAAAACCTATAAATCATCATAATATATATTTATATTATACGAAATAATTGGCCACTCACGGAGTTAGCAGCTGTCCTGTGCAATGCAATTCGACCGTTGTTGTCTTTGGTCAATATTTTGGCGCCATTTCGTACGAGGAATTTCACCTGAAAATGATTAAAACAACACAGCTTTATTTACAAGTATAATAACTGTGCGTGTTCGCGTTAAGGTAGCAAGCTTCACGAAAGTAAAACTATTGTCACTTTGTTTATTTTTACATATTTGATCGTATTACAAGGATGAATAAAATAAAAATATGGGGTTCAGAGAAAATCGATCAATAAAATACAGTGAAAATATTGAGCATGTTTTGTATTTTTAAGGAATTTTACAATTGTTTCCCAAGACATGAATATATTTGCTCGATGACATATGATGGAAAACGATATATAGTGTCATACAAAGTACATTTTGACGTCTAGAAGTATTACAAATTTACAATATTTTAGTGGGGGTTTTAAAGAGGAAATGTGCTAGTATATGGAAACCGCTGCTGAAATGGAATTTTATTCATATTATTTTACCCTGTTTCTCAAAAAACAGGTTGACAGTGAACCAAAACACTTCACACACTGTGGACTAATACTATAACGATTAATTTTAGACAGAATTTGACACGAAATAATGTCACCGATATATGCGCAAACATCTGCGCACAAATGAAAAACTCGCGAGTGGCATTCTACAAATGCTGAATGTTTACCATGTCAGATATGTGTGTAATATATTCCAAGATGCGCGGTTAGCTGGAAATGACGTCATAGTGACGAGTATGGAATATGTGTATATGATTACAAGGCGTGTATTTGAATTTAATGGAATTGAATGTTAAAGTCAAATAATATTTTACCTTTGTTTGGTCTTCGCACTCTATCGCCCCCATTAATGGTGTCACCCCATCAGAACCGGTAAAATTCACATCAGCCTCAGCCTTTAATAACATCCCCGTCACAATGACATCACTATGGTAAACAGCAACAGATAATAACGAACGCCCTCCTTCGTCAGCAATATTCACATTGGGTAACTTTCGCAGGAGACGAAGGAGTCGCTCGGGGTCGTTACTTCGGCACACTTTGAAAAGTAATGCACACCCTTTGTCCTGTGAAGAACATAGTTAAATGTAACGTCCTCAAGTATAACATTCCACTAAATGGCCCTATGCATTTATGTGTTTTTGTCCGTTGCGTCAATAATATTGAATACCAGCAAAACCATTCACGACACATAAATACATACATGACGTATTTGTATTGTATTGTATTATGTAGGCATGATTTATGGTACATAATAATTACGTAATACAGTACTATTTGTAATCGTAACGTGCACAGCACAACAACATTGATATGAAATGGGAGAATGTCAACCACCCGTTGATCTATGTTTGTAATATATGAATGTGATTTATGATACATAATACATACATGACGTAATGCAGCATTGCAACAAATACCAACCACCTGTTGATCTATGTTTGTATTACATGAATGTGATTTATGATACATAATACATACATTACGTAATGCAGTATTGCAACAAATATCAACCACCTGTTGATCTATGTTTGTATTACATGAATGTGATTTATGATACATAATACATACATTACGTAATGCAGTATTGTAACGAATGTCAACCACCTGTTGATCTATGTTTGTATTATATAAATGTGATTTATGATACATAATACATACATTAAGTAATGAAGTATTGCAACAAATGTCAACCACCTGTTGGTCTATGTTTGTAATATATGAATGTGATTTATGATACATAATACATACATTACGTAATGCAGTATTGCAACAAATGTCAACCACCTGTTGATCTATGTTTGTAATATATGAATGTGATTTATGATACATAATACATACATTACGTAATGCAGTATTGCAACGAATGTCAACCACCTGTTGATCTATGTTTGTATTATATGAATGTGATTTATAATACATAATACATATATGACGTAATGCAATATTGTAACGAATACCAACCACTTGCTGATCTATATTTGTATTATATGAATGTGATTTATGATACATAATACATACATTAAGTAATGCAGTATTGCAACAAATGTCAACCACCTGTAGATCTATGTTTGTAATAAATGAATGTGATTTATGATACATAATACATACATGACGTAATGCAGTATTGCAACGAATACCAACCACCTGTTGATCTATGTTTGTATTAAATGAATGTGATTTATGATACATAATACATACATTACGTAATGCAATATTGCAACAAATATCAACCACCTGTTGATCTATGTTTGTAATATATGAATGTGATTTATGATACATAATACGTACATTACGTAACGCAGTATTGCAACAAATGTCAACCACCTTTTGATCTATGTTTGTAATATATGAAAGTGATTTATGATACACAATACATACATTACGTAATGCGGTATTGCAACAATGTACAATCCACCTTTTGATCTATGTTTGTAATATATGAATGTGATTTATGATACATAATAATACATTGACGTAAGCAGTATTGAACAAATGTCAACCACCTTTTGATCTATGTTTGTAATATATGAAAGTGATTTATGATACACAATACATACATTAACGTAATGCAGTATTGCAACGAATACAAC